TTATTGTGAACAATTGATATAAGCATTCTGTGTTCTATATTTATGTATTTAAAAACCGATATTAACTTTTAATTTTAATGGTTTATAATGTCTAATTTTAGGACGATTGAAGCCAGGTGCACAAATTATTGTAAATGATTTTTTAACTATAATTGACAAGTACCTTGGCTAGTATACCTCGGATATACAATCCCTTATTTGGATTGGACATATTTCATGTCCTTCCCTTCTTTTTAATATTATACTGGTCTAATTGACTGTAATAAAGTAATTGATTGATTGATTGATTGAACTGAAAGAGATTTAAGATTAAAGAAAGCATAGCTTCACACAGCACGTAATCTGTGGAATTCATTACCACAAGAGATGGTAGTGACACCAACTTGGATGGCTTTGGAAGGGAACTGGAACAATTTATTGAGGATAAGTCTCTTGAGTCATTAGTCTGGAAGACTCATTTGCCTGGAAGATAGGGGCAGCCTGCTTCCAAGTATTAATGGTAGAGGAACGAGGGAGGAGGAGCCTGTCTTGAGTGCTTTGTGACTGTTGGCCCCTGTCAGAAACAAAATGCTGAAGTCTTGAGCAGGGCTTCTTAAATGGGGCCTGACTGAATTACACTGAGATAATCTTCCAGATATGTCTGGAATGGTTAGGTTACCCCCTTCTTGATTACCATTGTCAGAAATGGTGTATTGGAAACCAGCCAGTTTCAATTCCTAGTCTTCTGCACAAAGAGAAGGTATCTCTAGTAATGGTTTTGTAACTGCCTCCTGAAAGCAGGAGCAGAATCTTGCCTTGCTTGGAAGAATGCATTAATTACCTCCTTTCTCCAAGACAATGTGATTGCAAAGCACAGGGTCCTCCCACAATATTGGAATCCAAATCAAGGCAAATTCAGCTAACTTTATTCATAAGGATAATTAACCAACCGCCGACTATTTAGATTTTTATAGAACAATCCAGTAGCATTCAACAAAAAGAAAACTATTAGGCAGAGGGCTGGTTCATATACCATTAAAATAATCAGAACTGCTCCCACTTTCTATCCTCAGATCCCTTAACATGACTTTCTTTCTTTAAAATTTAGCTCTTACCGTTATGAAAATAAGCTTGTGTGTGTGACTCATATTAAATCTTTGAAGCCAGAATAGAGATGGCAGTCCTTTAAGGCAGTCCAGACAAGCATAAACCATGAGTATTAACATTACATTTTTTGTAAGGTTTCAGTAACAGAATCCTGCAAGTCTGAAAGCATCTCTCCTCTCTTCTCCTTTACTTTTATTTTCTAGAAAAATAGGGAGGGCCCTTCT